GTTGAATTTTGATTTGTTTGATAAGCAAAAAGAGCAGCAGGAATGAAAGTATCCCATTCTTGTTCATGTGCTATTGTCAATTTTTGTAAGATTATACACAGTATTCTATTAAAATATTCTATTATTCTATTCATTTATGGATAATAAGGTGAAGAAAATTTATGTTTGATTCCAAATTTTGTTGATAATTCTCTGATTATTTCATTGACAAATTCTAATCCATTATCTGATTGAATTTCTTTAGAACAATCATGTCTACAGATTATTTCTTCAAAGATAAATTTTGTGATTGTGATAGCTTTCTTGTCAGGAATGGCTTTAGCTTTAGACCATTTTGTAAGATAGTCAATTGTTATAATGATATATCGATTTCTAGTTGTTGTGATTTTACTAGATCCAATTAAATCAATTACAATTCTGTCAAAAGGTTGTCCAATTTTGATAGGATGTAAGGGTTATTTGATAGTTCTTCTATCAGTTTGCTGGCAGATTTCACAAGTCTTCATATAATTTTTTATATCAGTTCTCATACCATTCCACCAGTATTTATTTGTAATTCATTGATAGGTTTCTTTATATCCAAAATATCCAGATAAAGAGCTCAAATATAAATTAATAAGAATAGCTTCCATTTTATTTTTTTTGATAACTCGAAGAGATATACGCTACGAATTTTTCGCAACTCAATGATAATATTACCCATGTAAAACCCAGAAATGAAAGCAGCAATCAGGGTGCTATTACTTCTTTGGGGATGGTTTATCAGAGCGCTTAAATTATTATAAAAATTTGAAAAATGGGGACTTAGCATCTCAAGCATTAGTTAACGAAGAAGTACGGGAACAAATTGATGAAACATTTCTAATGATACTCTTTGTAAAAGAACTGAAAAAGCACGGAAAATATATACTCTTTTTAATAGCATTTTTAACGATAGAACTAGGGTGGTTAATGGAGTGTATTAAAACATATAGCCTACTCAGGAGCAGCTCCGGAGTGGGGTTGTTGGGAAGAGATTGAATACGTAATAGCCAAGATAATTCGCTCTAATCAATAGTGTTTAGTTATCATATGTTTACTGTGTCAGTGAACTCGAGTTCACAGTTATATGATAATGTAATAAATTTTTTATTTGCAAAAAAATTATATTAATAAAGTTGTAATTTATTTTAATCGGATTAAATTTTGTGGACGTTGATCCATACATGTATTTTATTTCGGAATAATATATTTGTATATCCGACTGCAATTTCGCCCATGACTACGAGTGAGCATATTAATTTTATTTTTTATTACATGATAGCTTTGCTGAAACGTAAATCATATACAGTGGCAATCATAATTAATGCAACGCTTGAATTTTTTGTAATTAGTAAAAAATTCAAGCGTTGCATTAATTATGATTGCCACTGTATTTAACAGGTGCTAATTACATGTAACGAAATGAACCAATTTTTTATAAGTTACACCGTTACTTAAATATCCTGCATCTCCATCATCAGAAAGCATTAAACTCATATTATTTAATTCGTACTCATCATCCTCATCATCAGAGGGTTCCGAGTTAGAATCTGAAGAATCGAATACACTTGCTTTTATCTCGGTTGATTCCACTGGAATCGTTTCTGAATTAGAGAGAGTGGATGTGTTACTTACCTCAGTTTCTCACCTACTTCAGTTTCGGGTAAGTCATCTGAAGAATTGTCCGATCATCGGTGAATTTTATGTCAGACTTTTAATTGAAATGAGTAATAATTGTTTGAATCTGTAAATTAGTTCTTGAAGTTCTATCTGCATCAAAGGTTGTGATATGTTGGATTTTGTCTATTCTTATTTTTTCGAATAAATTATAAACCTTTCTAGCTTTTCGGTTTTGTTTTTGTAAAATTTTACATTTGGTATTTAATTGTATGATAATAAAATTATAAATTTGTCCTTTCGCTTTTTTCTCGCCAATGTCATAAGATTTAAATAGTATTGTCTTTTTCATTAGTTAAATTATCAGTCACATGATTTTGACGAATATTTTTGACAAATTGTTCGCTGAAATTTCAGTTATATTTTTCTTATGTTTAATAGATGTTGATATTCTTTTTGTATTAAACCTTGCTCTTTTTTCTGCTCGGGAGGGATACTAGATTTAATATTAGATATGTAAGTCAGTAGGTGACTCACATTAAAACTTTTTCTCCCTATATCTTTATTTTGTTACGAATCTGTTCATCATAGATTTCCTTATTTTCTTGATGTTCATTCGAATTTGAATTGTTATCAGATATATTAGTCACCGGAATTTGCTTCACAAGAGGCAGTATTAACCGAAGATTGATTGTTTTCCTTGGTATCACCATCTAATTTAGCTCTTTTCATCGTTTTACGTTTGCTTCTGTTCTAATTTCGCAACTCTAGCAACAGTATCTTTATCATTCTGCTCCAGTTTGGTAATAAGGTTCATATTCAGCTTCGCGCCTAGCGCTTTGTTTTATTGCATCATTTAGCTTCGTATTTTCAGCCTCAACTTCAGCAAATTTCTGGAATTTCGGCATTCTCTTTTCTAAATTCAGTAATCTCGGATGTAAGCCTAGAGTTTAATTCTCTCAAGGTATTGATTGTTAATTGATCGTTCGACATTGTTTTATTACAAAATAGGATATATTTAAAAGTCGATACCGGCGACGGTGGAATGGCTGATTTTGCGGGCTCTGGTTATCTCTCTTGTGGATTATCCTTTTTGGAGTGAAAGGATTATTTGCGCTCGCTCATCTGGAGTTATGTGGTGCTTTGACACGTTTTTCAGCAAATTACTCGCGACGTTCAACACAATCCTTTCTTTAGTCGCATTTTATCAATGTAATAAAACGATCGATAGAAAATAGAAAAAGCTAACAAAAAATATATATAAGGAATGGCTTTCGGGCCTTTAATAACGGCAGAAATAAACTTGCGTGCAAATTTTTCTCCTTTTCTTTCTCACCAAGTATTGCCACATGGGACGGGAAAATGTGATGTTGGTTAAAATGAACACTTGCAAAGCAGAGCCACTTACGTGAATGAAAAAATACGTCTTTGCTTTATTGATTATAATAAAAATCGAAAAGAAACAAATTTATCTATTGTTTCTATACTATTTAACAATTTATTGTTAGTGAATATAAATCAGTTGGTTACTCGTTCAGTTAAATAATTTATCTTTTTTGAACTTAAACAAAAAAGTGAAAATCGGATATTAATTGGTTGCCAATCAATTATTGATTATTATTTTATTATTTCCAAACAGATAGGGAAAGGAACTGTCATTTTTTTACTCAAATATAAAGGGGCCTAGGATCCCGGCAGGCATGTTTTCATGCTTTATTCCTCCCTTTTCGAGTGACCATCATGTGTGTTACATTGCATAAACATTGCGTAATTGTTTATTTTTTTTCATCACTGGTTACGTATTAAAGATTATATATTAAGCGATTTCTGTATGGCTAAAATGTGGAATAAGTACTTTGACGAAACCGATGTCGATATTGTATCCTTTCACAAATACTGGGCCCAAACTCATTATGAGTATGAAAATCTCTCTTTATTCCAGAGCATCAGGCACGCTTTTTAAAAGCCTTCACGCAATTGAGAATAAAAGTTCGGATATAAATAAAGTTAAGAAAGCCTTTGATCTTTATAGGTCTTTTCAGGTCAGTAAACCTAGAGAAAAACTTTTAGTTGCCTCTAACGATCATTTTGATCGCGTCGTCTTCTGGACTAAGGAGCGGCACTTTAGTGCTAATCTGATCAATCTTTACGATTGCCGTCTTTTGGACTAAGGAGTGCACTTTTAGTGTTACTTTGATCAATCTTTTCGATTGCTGTCTTCTGGACTAAGGAGCGGCACTTTTAGTGCTACTCTGATCAATTTTTTCGATTGCATACCTTTTGGGTTAGGGGGCTTCTAGGCGCAACTGACTCTAATAGATATGAACTTACCATTTTTAGAGCGAAGAAGACTTCCTCAAAAGCTACTGGGAATCTGTACGTCAAGATCATCAAGAAAATGAAAAGGTTAAAGTTCAATGTACGGATGATATATTTGTGTGTGATGGAGAAGTGCAGATTGGTACCGGCAATTACATTATCCGCGAACGATCTTTTGAACAACCGGAGGAAAAACCAAGTAAAAGGAGAAAATCTGAAGAAGATAAATTCCCCGATAATGTTAGAATGTGGTCACCAGATCATGTTAAAAAATTTCTTGAATCCCGTATGGATGGCTCGGATTTTAACAAAGATGATATTAATAAACTTCGGTCACAAGATCTTACCGGCAAAGCTTTTCTCCATTTAACCGAAGAAAAACTTACGCGAAGACCTGGTTTATATGAACTCAAACCAAGTCCTGTGGAAGGGATTATGGAATTAGTTGAGGAGCTTAAAGAAAAATTAGGTGAGTAACAACAGCAAAGAATGCATATATACAGTAGAAAAGAATCATCATTATATTTTTGGTCTTATTTGCATTGTTTCTTTTATCATTAAGTGTAGGAAGAGCCTCCCTTACATTTATATCTGTTGAAGAATTTAAAAAATTTTGCGAGCAAAACAAAAAAGAATTAGAACAGATTCGATCCAATATCAATACAATCAATTCAAAATAGTTTAGGTTTTACACTTATAGCTTTAGTTTATAAGAAATTTTACCCACATGATATGTAAATCATAATCATCATCATCAAAGAAAAAAATAATATTGGTGTATAATCCGTGTTGGATGCTTGAGATTCTTCTTGTTCCTCCCAATCTCGGCTCGTTACTAATAATACGCTTCTTTGATTGGGTCTGATCTTCCTGCTTCGTAAAAATCTGAATCTATTCATTCATTTTCCCGTAATCACTTGTGATCACGAATCCTGTGACGCCAGGTGATTCATAGGCGTAGAATGGTGTATTAATATGCTTTCTTTTTTTTTGTTATAAAATTCGATGTTTTCATTAAGTGACCACAATATTCCCCCTTTTACCTTAATGTAAAAATGTCCGAAATTAACAAAAATAATAGTTAGCAAAAATAAAAGAAATAAACCAGCGAGCTGAGATCCACGACAGCAATCGACGATTGAAGATAACGTAAAGAAAGAGGACAGGTCGAATAAAGTTCCAAAACTGATGTCGATAATGCCGCCGCCGTAAATGATAAAATTGGACGTCAATATCAACTGTTTTAATATCATCCTTCCAATTATTATAGCAAAAAAATAACTGTAAATCAAATCATGTATCAACAAATTCACATAGAAAAACTAAATGATTCGAAATCCGCAGAGTCTAAACAAAAAGTATTCGAGTGGTACTTGAAAGCAGCAGAAACGGGAGACCTCGACGCACAAATTAATCTTGGTTATTGCTACGAAATTGGAATAGGAACAATCAAAAATGAACAAAAAGCATCCGAGTGGTACTTGAAAGCAACAGAATCAGGACAACTCAACGCACAATTTAGTCTTGCCAAAATGGAATAGGAACAATCAAAGGTAAACAACAAGCATTCGAATGGTACTTGAAGGCAGAGTTAGGATATCTTGACGGACAAAATAATCTTGGTTATTACTACCAAAATGGAATAAGATGAACAAAAAGCATTCGGGTGGTACTTGAAAGCAGCAGAATCAGGACAACTTCAAGCTCAATTTAATCTTGGAAAATTTTATCAACATGGAATAGGTTTTCAAAAAATCTTGACTTAGCCTTACAGTGATATCAAAAGACTAAAGGAAACGGTCCAGAAATGGTTGAATCTAAACTTTATTCTAATTGATAATTAAACATTTGCTATTAATTATTATAGAAAATTCTTTTGAATCCCAACTATGGGAAACAATTCAGATCATATGGATTTTGATGGATAATGAATTTTTTACGACATTAATTGAAAGCATTGCCTGAGCGAATGGATGATGAAATTAATGCTAAAGAGGGATTACCTAGATAATAGAATAAATTTGTTAAGTTTTATTTAAAAAAGCATCACATAAAAACACGTAGATCATGGTTTTTTGATTTTTATGATACATGCACGATAATGTGTGTTACTAAATTTAAATCTGTCGTTTAACGTTAAAAAGCGATAGTATTGAGAGTGTCGATGCAAGATAGATCTCTTATATAGAAAAAATAGATATTTGGATTAAGGAAATCAGCGTCTTTTAATTGCGTGGTCAATATTCCGGTGGTGATTTTTGTAATATGCGAGAGGTGATTTAAAGGGATTAATTTCTTTGTGCCATCTATAGACTTTCCGTAGTGGTTAACGTTAATTGATGGTTTTGATTTGTTGGTTAATTTCATTATATAATCTTTACGAATAGGAAAATCAATGGCTTTTATAGATTGGAAACAAGCATAACATCAAAACTTTACTTGAATTTCCAGGATCCTTACTGCATGTATACCATGTGTCCGTGACAATCCCGGAAAGTTTTTCAGTTTAGTTTACATATATAACGATAATGATAAAGATCGACTATCAACCAAAAGGAGAACGAATTCAAAACTTAGTACTATTAACTGAACGTTGTAGATAAAGTTATTTACCATAAAGGCTGGTCTGGTGTTATAAAATAACTCAATACAGCTTGATTTCTCATCTGTGGTAAATTAAATTTATGTATAGAAGACTAGTCCCCACCGACATTATATACAATGGGTTTTGTCTGTATCCCACGATCAACATATCGATATGATATCTGTTCAACAAATACCTTTATTATTATTGCCAAAAATATTATTGTTGTTGCGTAGTGGTAAGCATTTAGAGGAAATTCATCTAGTAGATCACTTTCGGAACATGTTTTTATCCGATATCGCTATAAAAGAGCGAAAAAGGAGACCAATTAAGAAAGAAAAATAATAAAGTGACACCTTGATTTGGAATACTATCGCTATTGACAGTTATTATGCTTTGCGATTTTGATGATTGGTTCATTCTATCGTATATGTGTATGTTAAAATCCATTCTTTTCGAGGAAAGAGAAAATGGCCATTATGTGCTAATGTGACTGACAAATTCATCGATCTACGTCAGTTAACCTTTAGGAGTTATCTCCCCGAAAATTTTTGCATGGGGATTCCACGCTCACAGGGCAGATAATTTACACAGACCAGTGGAATAAACCTAAATAAACCTAGACAAACCAGAGAAGAGTTCAGAACTACATGTAGAGATTAACGACCAAGTTCGGCAATTTTTTGAATGATGACTAAAGCCAAAAACCGAATAGAATTGACCAAGTAAAAATTATATTCGGCATAACACACTTTATTTATAATTTCGTAAATGTACACTGGTTCAGTTCCAAGTTTATCATTTATAAACGCACAATAGTTCATATATGTATCATCTAAAACTTTCACATACTATTTTGTTTTGTTTATAAAAACATTAGAGGCTTGTGATGCAGTATTTCTATTTTGGATTATTCTAGCCTTAAGCGTGAATAAAAGATGCGTATAAATACGTATTGAATGATATCGATATACAGCAATATTAAAAAAAATGTCGGTGGCATTGGCTGCGATTGCAGGAGCAATAGCTGCTAGCTATGCAGACGCAAGATACGGAATAACGAGAGATATGAAAAATATTATGAAGAAAAATGAATCGGAAATTTTGTCTCGGTAAAACATTATTTATTTGATTGATAGTCGAGTTAAATTCTAAATGGTTTGTTCTGATAGGATTATGGAATTGGGTAAACAAAAATCTTGTTCGGTCTATTTGATCGTTGAGGATGCTGCTCGAAGATGGCCAAATAAAGAAGCGCTTGTTTTTCAAGATCGAAGTTGGACATTTGCACAGTGTGAACAGGGTAAAGAAACCATATCGTATTCTTGATAGTCTATTTGGATCTCAAATTAAAAGTTCAACTTCAATATTCAAATTTTTATTTAGAGATTAGTAAATTGGTGAGCAAAATATATTTATTATATTCTTATCTATTTTTTCGTCTAATTAAAATGTGTTACTCAATAGGTGGTCTGGGCACAATCTCAAGGATTAAAACAAAAAGGCAAATTCATAAGAATTCTTTGAATTTTTATTGACAATTTAATCTAAACAAGTTCACATACACACAGATGTTGTCGCAATATACATGACGAATTCAGATCTCTTCATCTTCCTTTTTTTTGCATTCGCAAAACTTGGAATCATAGCATCACTAATAAACACAAGTCTCCGTAAAGAAAGTTTCAAAAACGCGCTCGACTTATGTAAACCGAAATTAATCGTCGTGAGCGAAGACCTGCTCTTTAATGCTATAGAAATCGATCATCTTGAAATTCCAATTGTTGAATTTCGGTTCAGCAATAAAGTGTCAAATAATGATGCTTTTAATAACAGTCTTTGTGACGATTGGGCTGCAAAGACGACGACGCAAACAAAACGTTTATTCTTGAACGAATTGTCGGGAATTGATTCGAACAACTTTGTTAAGCCGGAAATACAGTTATTCGATATTTTGTGTTATATTTATACGAGTGGAACTACGGGATTTCCAAAGGTAATCTTCGTAATAGCAAATAAATAAAAGACATCAATCACATTTATTCAATGGTTTTTTAAAGGCTATCGAATTTTCACACATATCAATTCTCTGTAAGTATTTCCCACTTTTGAATTTCAAATTTCAGGAATTAAGCTAAAATATGATTGTAAATTTTCTAAAAAATAGACATCAATTTTTCCGCCCCAACACTTCATGAAATTTACTTTTTCGATGATCGCCGATATTGTCCATTGCCACTTTATCATGGTTCGGCTTGTAAGTATGAACTGACCCTACCTTTTATATTACATTTAATATGAAAATCTTTAAATATCACGGTGTGTATTTTTAGTGGCACTTGGATTTTGCGCGTGTTGGGGAGTTGGCGCAACATTTATAGTCGGGCAAAAATTCCGAGCCTCAAAATTTTGGGACGAGTGTCGAATCACTAATGCTACCAGTTTTCAGGTTTATCAGAAATTTTGGCTTGAATATTGATGTATGGATATCTTTAATTTTGTTAATTTTTCGAAATATCTTATGATAGCACATAGGTGAACTCTGTAGATATTTGATGCTACAACCACCATCGATTAATGATAAAAATCATAAAGTTCGTCTTATTTACGGGAATGGTCTTCGTGGTGATATTTGGCAGGCGTTCAGAGAACGATTTGGAATTAAATTAATCGTAGAGTTTTATGCGCAAGCAGATGGTAAAGAAATCTATCGTAAATTATTCTTTATCTATGGAAGACCATATAATATGACTGAAAAATATTGGATCACACAGGCCATGCGTTTTTGCTGAACAGGAATTATGGGTTATTCGGGCTCGGAGCAGTGGGATATACAGGGATATTGCTAAAGTATTAATTTTATTTGATATAAAGTATTTAAGATGGCTTGAATTTTTGTTAAAAGTTTTGTTATTTTTGCATTTTCAGTTTTTTCGAAAATTCACAATTCATAGTAAGATTCGATTATGAAAAAGGTGTTCCTTATCGAGATCCAAAAACAGGTCGATGCATCTTGGTAAATTATGTACATGTAATACTCACCATCATACGAACACAATTTTGTTAAATTTTTTTTTATCAATTAATGAAGGCTAAAGTCAACGAGCCAGGAGAAATGATTTATAAAGTAGACCAAAATTCCACAATCCGCGGCGGCTATCTGAATATACCACCAGAAGATGATCCCAGAAACTTGTTTGATGTTTTTAAGAAGGGTGATTTTTGGAGACGTACTGGTGACTTGCTTGTTATTGATAAAGATGGGTGGTTTTATTTTGTGGATCGGGTTGGCGATACGTTTCGATGGAAGGGTAATTTATTTTACTTTCATTGAATCAATATAAATTTGTATTTATATGAATTCGAAATTTTTTAGGTGAAAACGTTTCATCGCATGAGGTCGCAAAACATATTTCTGCCTACCCACATGTCATCGAAACAATAGTTTACGGGTTACTGTTAAAATTTTATGATGGCCAAGCAGGAATGGCAGCTCTGGTTCTCAATCCGAAAAACAAAGATTCAATTCAAAAGACAATGAAAGAACTTCCTCGTTTTTTGGTCGGACGTGGATTGCCTAATCACGCAATTCCGAGATTTATTCGATTAATGGATGAGTAAGTGATTTGTCCAATTTTCGATTGACGTGACTATTATTCTTTATTTAAACACAGCACATAAATACACGAAAATACACAACACATTAATCTAGGATGCCAACTACTGTAACATATAAATACCAAGCAGCCATATTACGTAAAGAAGGAATTGATCGTGCAACTTGTGGACAGGATAACTTATTTGTTTTAGATCCTGTACAATTTGTTTATACGCAGCTGGATGAGAGTTTTTATCATAAACTCGAGAGAGGTAATGCCAAGCTGTAAAAAAAATATTAACGATCTAACTCTAAATATTCTATAAAAATCGACAGTATACTTGAGATATTTTTTGATAACCGGGATTATGCTTCATAAACGTAGCATTGTTATAATAATAAACATTAATTAATCGAATTCCCCGTAGTTTTTCCATATAATGTACAGTCTTTTTTTCTGTTCTAAATGATGAAATGCTTATTTGATTCCTCCCTAAGTCGTTCAATTTTCACTGCGTCACTTTTTATTAACTCCAATTCGCACATTTTTAACTTTGCTATGCACCCTTCATGAAGTTTAATAATAATATATCAGCATATTTAGTGAGCCTTTTTATATAATTGAGTTCGTGCGATATAATTTTGAGAATTTTGGTCAAGATACACCTGAATATCAAAAATTCATTTTGAAAAATAAACTGAACGAATTTTATAAATATACGAATTATTATTTTATAGACAATGTTAACAGGTAGAAGCGAGATAGAGCTTAAACTTCCCAGTCAACATTATTCGAAATAATAAAATACACGTACTATGAATTTTTTAAAAAAGATGTAAAGCATGGGATACTATCAATCATTTTTTTCATAAGCTTCAAATGAACCGATCCCACGAAATTACACAACATACGCCCCCGCAACGGGAAATTGTTGTTCCAATGCCAAGTTATGATAGTTGGCGAATAGCTTTCCATAAACCTTCCACGAATTGCATATTATGAAAGGAAAAACTGAGTTCGATTGCATGCATGAGAAATTAGGAAATGTGATGTTTGAAAAATAGCCAGGGTACTAAGATTACTGATTCAAAAAATGAAATTAGAGAGAGATAATATAATATTTACAAATATTCTTTAGTGACGTTATTCTCTGTGATATTTCGTGCAATAAGGCCCAGCTGATTATATTCGATATTAATAAAAGATCATCGTCGTCTTTATCGTCTTTGAACTTATCGTTATCTTTGAACGCTCCTCACTCTCTAAGCCCTTATAGAAATGCCATTGATGCTTAGAATGTTCGCCAGAAGAAATATTCCGTTAGCACAAGACATTTGAACCCTGTTTTTTTTCTCTGCCAAGTTATAAAGAATGCAACTATTCTATATCCTGGATTATTAACAAGAGGAGTCAAAGTGGATCGAAGCAGATTCTAATTATAAAGAAGGGAAAAAGGAAGTTAACCAAGGACAAGTAAAAGAATTGTGAGATTACTTTTTTGATTTCTTTATGAGAAAAGATAGCCACAGCTGTAAATTATATATTGCCCTGTATGATAATACAAAATATAATAAAGCATGAAGCCTCTCTGCTCACTTTTTGCGGTGATTTTCAATATCCAGCACTTACTGTGTCCTTATTTTAAATGGCAGATTTTCCTGTCTCAGAGCGGAGATTAATTAATAAAAAACAAGTGATAAAGACCGTGCATTATCTTCTTTTTATATAAAAAAAATATAAAGATATCATTTTTTAATTATTTACTAAACTAAAAATATTAAAATATATTATTATTTATATATCCATTACAGCATTTTTATAATATTCTTAATTCTTCTGGCATTGGTTAAATTAATTTAATAAAAAAATTAATATCAAATTTTCTCTTACTGGATATGAAATGATGAAGAATGTGATACCGATACCACTGAATTGAATTATATATCACCTTTTAAATTTGATTAAACTACAACAGAAGTTTAAATATCATGTAAATTTAAAACGTAGGAAAATTTTTCTGTCTATTACAAGGTTAATTCTGGTTAAAAAAAGAAAAGAATAGCAAAAGCTTTATTATATAACTAGGTTACGTGAGTAGTACGTTGCTTTCTATGCACAAAATTTTAATTTACACTCGTATAATTAAATAACCAATTCCATTAGATGCTCTATAAGAACATGGTCGGGACACAAAAGACTTTGTTTTTATAAGAATTTATAATTATAGAGAGAAATTCAATATACTTTATAATAAGTTACTATAGACCACGAATTACTATTTACTGTTAAAGCGGAACATACAGTAGAAATTTCAACAATGAAAGCTTTCTCCATTTATTTGATGCTTCCGATAAGTTTTCAGCAGGACGCTTGTTATTTGTTTTTATGACCTTTGGAAAATTATTTTTTAATTTTTGTTGGTGAACGAAATTAAATGTGGCAAATCTCTCCTTCATTTCATTTGCATTTAGCATCGATATCTATATCGTATTCTAGAGTTGCACGTAAACAAAGTATTTTAACTTTATATCTTAATAATATACTGTATACAGTACGTGTAGTGAGTTTCATTCGGATTATTCGGAACATTGCAGTCTGACCCTTAAAATCGCTTCGATTGTTATAAAAAAGCAAATGCGCATACTTGCATCATTAGCTGATTAATAAATAATTTCACATATTTTACATGTAGTCTAACAAGAATGATTGCAGAAGTTTTATTTATGTCGAATTAAAGCTCTAGTTATTTGTGTTATATTTTTGCTTTCTTTTGAAGGTCCATTGTCAATTATGCAATTCCATAATGAAATTTTTGCTTATCCAGCTTTTTATATTGACGTCAGTTAACGTTTATTTAGATTAATAACTGCATATTTTAAATACATCTCGTAAAATAAAATCATACATAATATTTTATACTGGTTAATCAAAAATTTATTGTAATAAATATTTCGTAGTAACTTTATGTACTCGTATATGCTTGTATTAATCTCGTTATGTACTCTTTCGGTGAAGACATATGCAAATGCAATATTTTTACTCTTTATTTCTGATTTAATTTGTTTTTCACTTTTATTAAAAGAGATTTTGATATTTTACAATTTACGTATATTTCTTATACTCTTTCAAGTTAAAATAGTTAAAAATTGTCTGTTAATATATTGCTCAAAATTCTTTTATTTAGTGCTAAAAACATTTTCAATAAATTTATACATGCACATATGCGTTATTAATCTCAAAAGCTTTTTTGGGCTTGTCTCGTTTGGCTTAAAACTATATCTAGCGCATTATACATGTATGCAAAATTAATGCTAAAAATTTTATGTCAGTAAAATTTTTTTGTTCTCCCGTGTAACGGTAACATTAACGCCTAACGCTAATGCATATCGATATCGATATACTGTACATGTATATTATCGTTATGCATCAACACATGTGGGTAAAAATGATTCTGTTTACATGTATTGAAACTAGAATTAAATAATTTTATATAAAATGTCAGGAATTAACAAAAATAATACATGTAGTTTGGCAAAAAATAAAAGAAAGAAACCAGCTGAATATGAAGAGGATCCACGACAGTTATTCGCGATTGAAGATAGCGTAAAGAAAGAGGACAAGTCGAATAAAAGATCTAGAGCTAATGTCGATGTTGTCGTAAATAATCGAATAGATTGCACATTAACATTATCAGCTCTTTCAACTAATTTGGATCAACAAATCCACATAGAAAAATTAAATGATTTGAAAAGTAGAGAGTCTAAACAAAAAGCATTCGAATGGTATTTAAAAGCAGCGGAGTCAGGAGATCTTGATGCACAAAATAATCTTGGTGATTGCTACCAATATGGAATGGGAATAATTAAAGATGAACAAAAAGCATTCGAGTGGTACTTGAAAGCAGCAGAATCAGGATACCTTAACGCACAATTTAATCTTGGTGATTGCTACCGATATGGAATAGGAACTATTAAAGATGAACAAAAAGCATTCGACTGGTATTTAAAAGCAGCAGAATCAGGACACCTTGATGCACAATATATTCTTGGTATTTACTACCAAATTGGAATAGGAACAATCAAAGATGAACAAAAAGCATTCGACTGGTATTTAAAAGCAGCAGAATCAGGACACCTTAACGCACAATTTAATCTTGGTATTTGCTACCAAAATGGAATGGGAACTATTAAAGATGAACAAAAAGCATTCGAGTGGAACTTGAAAGCAGCAGGATCAGGACACCTTGTTGCACAAAATAAACTTGGTGATTGCTACCAATATGGAATGGGAATAATTAAAGATGAACAAAAAGCATTCGATTGGTACTTGAAAGCAGCAGAATCAGGACACCTTAACGCACATGATAAACTTGGTTATTGCTACCTAAATGGAATAGGAACAATTAAAGATAAACAAAAAGCATTCGAGTGGTACTTGAAAGCAGCAGAATCAGGACACCTTAACGCACAAGATAATCTTGGTTATTGCTACCGAAATAGAATAGGAACAATTAAAGATGAACAAAAAGTATTCGAGTGGAAAGTGAAAGCAGCAGAATCAGGACACCTTGATGCACAATATATTCTTGGTAATTGCTACCGAGGTGGAATAGGAACAATAAAAGATGAACAAAAAGCATTCGAGTGGTACTTGAAAGCAGCAGAATCAGGATACCTTAACGCACAAAATAAACTTGGTATTTGCTACAAATATGGAATAGGAACAATTAAAGATGAACAAAAAGCATTCGATTGGTACTTGAAAGCAGCAGAATCAGGACACCTTAAAGCACAAGATAATCTTGGTTATTGCTACCTAAATGGAATAGGAACAATTAAAGATAAACAAAAAGCATTCGAGTGGTACTTGAAAGCAGCAGAATCAGGACACCTTAACGCACAAGATAAACTTGGTTATTGCTACCTAAATGGAATAGGAACAATTGAAGATGAACAAAAAGCATTCGAGTGGTACTTGAAAGCAGCAGAATCAGGACACCTTAACGCACAAGATAATCTTGGTGATTGCTACCTAAATGGAATAGGAACAATCAAAGATGAACAAAAAGCATTCGAGTGGTACTTGAAAGCAGCAGAATCAGGACACTTTAACGCACAAGTTAATCTTGGTGATTGCTACGTAGATGGAATAGGAACAATTAAAGATGAACAAAAAGCATTAAAGTGGTACTCGAAAGCAGCAGAGTCAGGAGATCCTCGCGTACAATGTAAGCTTGCATTAATCGAAAAAGAGGAAGACAAAGTATTAGAGTTACTTTTAAAATCTGCCAATTCAGGTTATGAAATAAGTCAATTTTTATTAAGATATAGCTATGAAAGAAATTCAATTACAAAAGAATTGGAAAAAGAGTTATTCGAATATCTTTTAATGTCGTCTAATGATAGTAAATCTTATTTCTATTTTCGACTTGGACAATGTTATGAATTTGGAGAAGGGACAAGCAAAGATGATAATAAGGCATTTGATTGGTATTTAAGAGCTGCAGAGTCCGGGCACAATAAGGCTCAATTTAACCTTGGAAAATTCTATGAACATGGAATAGGTATTTCGAAAAATCTTGATTTAGCATTAAAATGGTATCAAAAGGCTAAAGAAAACGGCCATGATCGAGCCGCCGAAATGGTTGAATCTTTCAATTTTGAAAAAATTTACTATTAAATTTTACTGCTTTCGTGACAATTTTTTAACTTTATGGAAAATTTAAATGAAATTTAACGGATTTATGTATATTTTATTTATCAGTTTCTTTTAGCGTTAGCATATTATTTATTGTTTATCGTTATAGTAGTATATAGGATTACATGTATTAGTAGATCTATAACGATAAACGACATGGTTTTTGAAATATTCATATTAATTTAAACCAATTTTTCATTCTGCTGTGATTATAGTCATTATATAAAATCATGTAATTTACAAAAATCAATGTTCTAATCCTCATTAGGATATCTACTATCTCTATGTGCTTTGTAGTTTGGTTCAAATTGAAAAAGTAGCAATTTAGTCCAGCCAATATAAATAAAATTAAAATGTGGTGTGGATAAATATTTGTATTTAGAACATAAAACCAGTTCGTTCGAAATTTTTTAATTTATTTTGAAATGAACTGCAGCATTGAAGTCAATATTGCATAATTATCGATGTATAGCATTAAATGGCGAAAGCTGAAATTTACCATAAGAGCAAGTCACATCTTAATAAAAATTGAGTTACAGTATCAAATAATATTTACAGGTTCATATATTAGCATTGTGAAAATCCGCTATCAGGAGAATAATTGACAGTAAAAGGTACAGAATCACGAGTACACGTAGCACCATCAAAAGTTTGCACGTTTACGCGTAGGGAATAAATTCCCGCCATTGGCGTATCCAAATTGAACATTGGCGTATGATCTTGAGAAACGGGATCCACCGAACCAGTCCATTGTGTTTCTACAAAGTTTCCGCTGGGGTCGAGTAGATCGACTGATGTTACTTCAAGATCACCTACTTGATTATCTTTACTGTCGAATGAGACTTGGTAACATTGTCCTATTTTGAAGAAATACGAAACAGGAAATAAATTTTTCGTATACTGAAAAAATGGTGATTGGATTTTTTTAAGTACCATTGGTCCATTGAAGTCCATCTTGAGTTGGTGAAGTGATGCGGAATCCATCACAAGCATCTTGTCTTTTCTCAAAAGATGCCGCGAAAACTGAAGAAATAATTAAAACGAGTGCAGCAATAATGGTTTTCATTTGGATTGAATGCGTATGTATTTGGAAAAAAAAGTATTTTTTATTAAATGTCAGATAATGTGGTTAGAAAAGTGTGTTTATTTGTTCTTTATTCGTTTTGATATGGATTCTGGAAGTTCGCAAGAAAGCTCTCTTTTTATGATGTAGTTTTTACCATTAAACTAAATTCTTTCAATTAAAAATAAAAAAGTAAAAATATAATTACTTAAACATACAATCAATCATTGATAAGTAAGGGAATCAGCGATTTACTTTAATAATGAGAAGGCGCATACTCTCGAAAAACGTAGTCTTCGTCTTGTAAATTCTGAAGTTACCTTCATCTCTTTTCTTCAGTCACCGAAAATCTATGTTGTTCCGTGACATAAAATAAAGTGACGTGTTTCAAACATATGTCTTATGATGTCAAGAGTAATTTATTGATAGTGATGCAAATCAATATTAATATTGAACAATGCCAAAAAAAGAAAATTTTAAAAGTTGTTCTATACTCTTCAGTTGTTTTTTTTTATACTCTTTATATACATGTATAAGAAGTCAAATTGATATAATATATATTACAGTAGTATGTTTACACAAGAAATCCATGAGTATTAAATAATTGTGCTAGTTAAAAGCCTGTTCTAAATAGCACCTAATTTCATTTGCAAAATCAACGAACAAATAAAAAATTAATAATATTGTCATTTTTGATGGTTTAATGTAGCAGAAGATGATGTGATAGTAAGATGAAATTTCGATTCTGTGATAGTACGGATGTGTATTACAGTAGATGTAATTGAGGATGTGATAAATGTAATTATGAAGAGGAGGATTGATTGGGAGTGACAGGGAATTTTGAAAAATCTAAGGGAAAGAATAAAAGTTGGATATCTTGTCTTTACATTTAAGAATGATAATTAAAACCTTCGCTATGATTTACTAGTAACTATTCCTTCTGTGTTTGCTTTGTTTATTCGTTTTCTTTTGTTTCTTTGGTGTTTTCTTTTTTCTGTGAATCTTTAGACTTGTAATCTTCTTGCTATTTTTTTTCGGATGAGGTGGAGGTGTCGGTTTTGTTGTTGTGCTAGTAGTGCTAGTAACGCTGGTAGTGCTAGTAGTGCTAGTAGTGCTAGTAGGCGTAGATGGGCTATTATTACTACTACCACCTTTCGACCAAATTCCATTGCAGTTTGATCCGTCTACCGGTGACCATGATGCACCAGCCGGCGATTGATCTTGCCCGAATAGAACCATGAATGCACCGGTACTCAAGTCTAGACCTTGGCCACCTTGATCCTAAATCAAAAATAATCGATTTAACAAATAATATTATCAATCGAATAAGAATAAGAAAAATAATATTTACCACAGCCAAGACAAAAACACTTTTGGAAGAATCATCTAAGCTGGTCACTTTTAGACATGTACCGCATCCGCCCTGACCTAATCCTTCTACGGCGGTGATACGATTCAAGTCTAATTCTGCGTAGGGCATACCACAGAATGGTGGATTGTTTACAGCCTTTGGTCCAAATACTGGATAGTCTTCTGGCGTACTGTTAGTAGAAATGTTAGCAAACATAAGTATGTATTATACATATATAATAAGGATTGCCGATATCAAGATTATACAAATAATAAATTAACAAACATACATTGTTTGACTACCACTTAACCCAGCACGGGCAGTTACGGCCAAATAAGAGACAACGAGTGAAATGATTGCAAAAGACTTCATTGTATAATAAATAATATTATTCACAGAATAATAGTAAAAAAAAGAAAATCTAGCGTGTATTGCTACGATGTTAAATATCGGTATGAAATTCTACGTCTAGTAGAAATGCAACTTTCTTATGAGAAGAAAAAGAGAAGGAATATCTAATTCGATTCTGTTTTTCTATGGAGTAATAATGAAAAGATCAATCGCTTCGTCTCAGACGGTGGTGGAGAAACTGAGATGAAATCTAATGAATTTATATACTTTTATTTTTTCGCAAAAACCCCCATAACGAAATCGTGGAGCACCAATAAGAGGAGATGTTGCACATAATTTCCACAATTACAATTTACATGTACATATATACATGTACTATTTTCGAAACGTTCAATCATGATATCCGAATAGATGACTACATGTAGATGTTAAATGAATACAATGTACTCGTATATCCGTTTCCTATACGCTATTCCTGAATTAATCCTTGCATTAATTGAAGTTTATTATTGCCAACTTTGAAGTTCAAATTGCGTTTGTTGTTATTGTATTGTCCCGTTATTAGTTAACACAAAGTACATGTACCATCCGTCCCACTGCATCAAACCACCACCAATTGAAACATAAAGATGATCATTACCAACACAAACTTACATGCATGTAAATTTGATGATAAAAAAAAGGCTTTTATGTTCAAAAATCTTTATTTGCAATATCGATATTTGCCGAGATATTTGTCGCCAATCAGTTGGTTTGTTTAGTTTGCAAAGTGCCGTGAAATAAAAATATAGATGTATCTTGTATAACTTGTATAACGATAATAAAACGTGTACAGTATCAATATTCCTAGAAATTGCTGAACGATAAGTTTTACAATCAGCACGTATGCGTAAAGAAAATCTATAACAATGAACCCTAAAAAAATGGCTGAAACATATATGAATAATAAAAGGAAAAAAGTATGAAAGTATGAAAGTGACTTTCTTGTGTTAGCATACGAAACATGGGGTGCAATAACATAAATGTGAAAAAAAATTCGAAGTGATCGGGACTGTTGGAAAAAATTGGCTTTTGAACGGATTTATTGAAAACAGCGTTGGGTTTGAATTATATGTATCACTCGAATTGATCGAGGTTACACAAAATAAAAATAAACAGAAAAAATTTTACTTATCCGGCAAGCCAGATTTGAACTAGCGACCTAGAGATGTCAGTTAACCACTACAGTCTCCCGCTCTACCAACTGAGCTATTGCCGGTTTTGTTAGTTAAGTAGTTAGAATTTTTGTATTGAATATTTAATAGAATTGATTATGGGTTTTTATTATAAAAAATTTCGCCCAAAGGAAAAAGAAAATTAAAAAACTACGTAATTGTAAATTAATTTATTTTTTGTTATTTTGTTATTTAACTTGATTTACGCAACCGTGGATCTCAACACCAAAATAAGGACCATCATGTGCATTGACATTTTGTTTAAGCGTCGGGATCGAATTTGAACAATTCTAAAAAAAAGAATTTAGGCAATGATATTAATATAAAGAAAATAATAAAGGCAATTTTGTCTTTGTACTATTAAATGTATTATGCTTACCGGGTTCTCATTGCCGATACATGACAAAGCACCACCATTCATCACCGTTCCATCGTTACTAATCCAAATTTCACCCTTCGTATGCAAATAGCCGAAGGACTTTGGTGGCAAATGCGGAAAAGGATCTACCGTATTCGTAATACGATGCATCGAAATCGTATCGTCGATATATTGTGCCAAAACGTCATTTCCTACACGCGGCTGCCCAAATGTCACGATGAATAAATCTTCATCGGAGACTAACGTGGGAATTTGGCGCTTTAAATTCACGCCTGTTAGTAATGCTAGTGCACCACCTAAGCTATGGCCAGTTACACCAATACTGTATCCTGGATTGGCAGCTCGTACGTCTTGTAGACTGGAGAAAAGTTCTGAAGCGATTTCTTGGGATGCTTTTAGGAAACCAGCGTGAACTTTTGCTTGAGGAACTGATGGATAATTGCAGAATATGAATTGACCGTCAGTCCACACGTTTTTTATGCTTTTGGTTTCCGTACCGCGGAAACTTATAATTATTTGTTTTTGTTGGTCGTTTACACCGAGATATGCTAAGGATTATTAAGATTAAAATTACGAAATTAATACTTAATGTTTTAATCGAAAAGCATTAAATGTGCATATTTATACCTTGAGTGTTAAGGCTCGTATCAAAAACTTTAACTATTTTGGTGCCACTCGTGGCATTACAAGAAACACCACAATTCCACTGCTTAATAACATCTGCGTCACAATATGCGATATCCGCATAGTGAGCAAACCTCATATAGTTGTCAAGTGTCTCTTGTGATAAGATAGGTGACGTCTCGTTACTACTACTACTACTATAGCTATTATAAACGTTTTTATCGTCTTCAACTTTCTCAAGATTTAATGGAGCTGAATGTGCGGTATCTATAAACAATACAAGGTATATTATAATTGTTGACGCTATTGTGAATGTAAGTAATGCTAATGTAGGTTTTTGATTTATGGATAACCTTTTCGGTTTTGAAAATGATCTTGAAGAAGATGCCATTCTATCACTATTCATATTCCTATTGATTATTGTTGGAATAGATATAATATATAGTTGGTTGTTTTGAATTCAACTTGATGTAAGTAATTCGTGGCAGGAAAGAAAGATAGAATGAATTTATCACACGAAAACATGTTTTTTTGACTAAGGGTTTTATATTATTTTCCATATTTCGTCTCGGGTGAAAGATTTTACAAAGGCGGTGGTGCATATAAGGATAATTTGTTTTTATGCCCGCACGTTTATGCTTGTACACAATGTGGAAAACACATTATCAAATAAGATCGACATTCTCCAAATAAAGTAATAAATGTTTTTTGTAAGAATTTCTCCTTTTGTATCTTTTTGGATAACAAAGTTACTTGATATAACAATAACTTATTGACGTTAACATTGAATAATTAAATAATTATTGTGTTTAGTGTGTGATCCTGTATTCGTCAAAATCGGAAATGACAATACTGCGAACATTTTAAATAGAAATTATTACATGTATTCTGAACAGAATAAAAAACTGACATTAATATAAAGAAAATTAATTAGCATTACATGAAAGTTATATATACGCATAAATTATCTTTTAGATTTACTCATCAAATACATGTCATGCTAGTTAGTAGACACTTGGTGTACACATGTATGTAAAGTCAAGTCATAATTATGAAATAAAAGTGATCGCTTTTCTACACTGTGGGAATGCAAGTAATATGCGATGTTCATGTACACAATAGGTTAAGTTATACTCTTATCAAAACATCGAGTATTCTAAATTTAGTGCACATTTTTTTTTTTTTTTTTTTACATAAAAGCACAAGACTAAAATTTCCTTTCAAGTTACTTTTTCTGGATTGAAATTGATAAGCATAATTGTCAATTTCGGTTTTAAAAGGGATCAGCCCCACCATCACAAATAGACAAACGCAAAAAATTTTTTGATAATGGACAACGTGGACTTTTAGAGTCTGTGCGAATTTATAATAAAGATAAAAAAATGTTTGTCATGTTAATTAAAATAATGTATCCTATGGTGCAAACTTTATTAAACGTGACGTAACTCAAATATATGTCGCATGTAGACGAAATCATAATGCTTAGTTTTGCCCAGAAATTCAAATTACTTAAATCTACAATTGATTGGTTCTAAATTGATGTTTGTGGCAAGCGTTGCATTATATTGTTTCAAAGTTTTTCTATTCCTATAGAACTGGTCTAAAGCATGTTACGTGGCTATGTTTGGAAAATTCTTTTAATTGGTGGCTTAAGTTATTAAAATTACATGCTGTTATCTTTGTGGCTTTCTAATCCTTCTATGTTAGAGATTATGAATGACGTTAATATATGCATACATGCTAATTTCCGAACAACCTTAATATAAATCCGAGTTGCTAAATATTGAATATTTGTTTCACAAAAGAATCAGTGTACCATAAATAGCAATGAAAATTTAAATATCGATATCTATCTGCATTTTTAGTTAATGTTGCATTTCACTTATAATGCGTTATCAATATCCATCTTTATAATTTATGTGATCTATCATATTTATGTAAAAACTTCTTGATATTTTTATTTTCTTTCTTCACTTCATGTTATTACATTATTCACTGATGCAGAAAAAGAGTAATAAAATCTGTTAAATAATATTAGTAGAAATATAATGAGATGTTAATATGTACACTCGAATGGACAAAAGTTTGAATCCAAAACTTTTATGACATTTATTTCAGAAATTCACTAAACAAAATTTAATAAAATTTATATCATTCGAAAGCTCTACTTCTCCCGTATGGTTTTTTTTATTATAACTATATTTCGTAAAAATTTAAATGAACGTAAGACAAAAAATTACGTCACACTAACCATTTAATTCAGTAAGCTGAAACCTATGGTCAAGTTTGGATCCAAAACTTTTATGGCGTTTATTTCAGAAGTTTACTAATCATTCAAAAGCTTGTATATTTTTTGCTAATGACAATACTTTCCTTTTTGGATATATATTAGTATCCTAGTCACGGCAAAAAAAATATCGGTCACGTGATTTTCCGACCAATATCCAGCACTCGGCTATATCACGTTATTACGACTGATGCCGGAGTAATGGCACACTTTGCGGATCTTTAATTAGCCAAGTCAAGAAAATAATAGCTTTATTATTAGCTTTACTACAATACTATAACAATAAATATTATATGATTAATTATGATAATATATTTTAATATATTTAGTTTTTACCCATCTTTGCAATTATTTTTATTTATATATATATGATTTCAAGCAAAGATATATAAATAATTCTATAAAATAAGCTGTCCATTGATCTTTATCACAAAAAAAAGGTTTCAAGTTAATATTATTATTGTAAAAATTCAAAAAAAATAAAAAATCCATTTACTTTTATTTAAGTTTGAATGAATATATGATTCTGAGTGAACATTCAAAAATAATTCCAGTATTGTTATCATTATTTTTATAATTCAGATTTCATGAAGAAAATTATTGACTGCCAAATATTTTATAATATTATATAATCTTTAGTTTCTTATTTTTTAGCATCTTCTAGTATTATATTCATAATCACGTTTATATCTTTTTTTTATAATATTCTTCAGTATACAAGATTATATTGCATCTCCTATTTTTTTGCATTTTCTAGTATATGTTGTCAATACTATTGATTATGATAGTTTTCTCTCTTATTTTTTCTCTTTAATAGAAACTGATTTGAGTTTGCTAATTCATTTCATGAATTTAATAATTTTCACTTAGGCAGTTTGAAGTTTGGTTTGCAAATTAATATTACATTCTTGAATTAGCTTGTAATTTTCTTGTTTAGTAACTAATTCAGAGCTTTAATAATGAGATATTTTCCAGTATATATTGTTAATATTATTGGTCATGACAGTTTTCCTTCTTATTTTTTCTTTTTGATGAAAGCTGATTCAAGTTTGTTAATTTATTCTGTGAGTTAGTAATTTCTGCTTGAGCAGTTTGGAATTTAATTTACAAGTCAGTATTGCATTCTTGAATCAGCTTGTAATTTTCTTGTTATTTAGCTAATTCAGTAACTTTAACAGTGAGATCTTTTCTAGCACATATTATCAATAATATATATATCATGATAATTTTCTAGTATTTTTCAGTACAATTATTCATATTCTTCAGTATAATAAACCATATTACTCTTTCTTTATGTAAGATTATTTTGTTAATAGTTGTAAACAAGATAAAATATGATATAAATAAGTTTTAATTTTATAACTTATGATT